GAGGGCAGAAAACCAAACTGACTGGGGGACTGATGTGGGCCGACCAGAGTGATCAGTCTGCTGTATATAATCCTCTCTAGCACCTTGGAGATGATAGGGAGAAGTGCAATGGGACGATAGTTAAAGCCAGAGTGACGATCATTAGATTTGGGAATAGGCTTAATTAGATGGGTTCGCCATTCCAGGGGCAGAGAGCCAGTAGAGAGAGAAAGATTGAAAAGAGCTGTTAGTGGGGGAGTGAGAGCTATAGCACACCGTTTAAGCAATATAGGACTGATTTCGTCAATACCCGGAGCTTTAGACGTATTGAGGGAGGAGAGAATATTGAAGACTTCCTCCTCAGAGCAGACAATTGAGTCAATGCAGGTAGATGGGGTATGACGGTCCTCAATTGGAGGGAGAGTAAAGGAGCTTCTGGTGAAGACTGAGTAGAAGTACTCGTTAAAAAGTTTAGCCTTTATATTGTCATCAGAAGCACTCTCTGGACCAAATTGTAGACTCTCGGGTATCTCTCTAGATTTCGAAATATGGCGAACATATCGATAAATTTTACTTTGATCATGCCCATGCTCTTTCACCAACATTTCCTCATATTTAGACTTAGCGTCACAAAAGGCAGTAGTAAATTCAGCTTCCTCATTAGCCAGTTTCATCTTTATATGGTCAGTCGGGTTTCTGGCGTAGCGTCTTCTTAGAGTGCGGATCTGATTCAGGTTGTGCTGAAGATCTCCTCTGAGCCATGGAACAGAATGATAGGACAAGGAACGCTTCTTAACTCGCGGGATAAACCTTTCAACTGATGACAACAGGATGTCCTTGAAACAAGACCAAACTGTGTCAATATCAGAGTCACTAAAACATTGACTGAAATCGAATTCAAGAAGGTAGTCAACTAGGCCCTCCCAATCAGCTTTAGCATAGTTATAAACGGGGTGGTTCAGTGAAGTCCTAGAGTATCTAGGGGAGGAGCAGCATAGGCGGAAAAACACTGCATAATGATCAGAACTCAGAGGAGTAGATTTGGATATAGAAATGCAATTAATAAGAGAGCAATCTGAGGATAGAACTAGGTCTAGAATGTTGCCTTTAATGTGGGTGGGGGAATGTACCGACTGAATGAAATTATTATAAAAACAAAATCGCATAGACATAAAGAAAAGGGCGAGTCACCAGACAAGGTGTCCCAATCAATATCAGGGACATTAAAGTCCCCAAGTATGACAATGTGACCGGGAGACATAGCTAGACAATTAACATAATTACTGAGGGAGACATTGTAATCATGAGAAGCATTGGGAGGACGATAGAGGACACACAACGTGACTTGATGTACTAGCCCAATATTGACAGTAACAAGCTCCAGGTCTTTGGGAGAGGACAACTCAAAGCAAGGAATGTGGTTCCTAATAGCAAGAAGGACACCACCACCCCGACCATCTCTGTCATGTCGAAACAGTGAATAACCAGGGGGAAGAAATTCCTCGTTAAAGACATAAGGTGATAACCACGTTTCAGTACAGGCAAGAATTTCAATACCAGAGGTTATTATAAAGGATTGTAGTAGAGACATTTTATTCATGATACTCCTGGCATTGATTAGACAGCTAGAGACACCTAGTCAGGCTGGCTCCTGACCCCCATTAGAAGTGGAGATAGCAGGAGCGGTAGCTGAGCCATTATGGGTAGGAGAAGGTGGATCGTTGGGAGCAAGGGCATTGGAGCCAGACTCAGTATCTACAGGGTTATCCACATTTGATGGGAAACTACTGATATTAACAGTTGAAGAGTCAGCAACAGACAGAGCTGAGTTAGTGACAGTAGCATGGAGATCTCCCTTAATATAAATTGACGACTTTCCAAGTCGAATGTCTTGCTTAGGAGTACCATTCTGAATCAGCCTCCAACGTTCTTGAAGCAGCAGTTTTTCGTTGTTTTTCTCTATTTTGGATAGAAACGGCTTGATGACAAAAGAACTAGGGGTAGAGCCATGCCTAGACAACAAAGCAACCATATCTTTAGATCTATTTAGAGTGACCAATAGGGGACGGGGACGAGAACTATTGGGTGAGAAGCGTCCAATACGACGACAGTCTCTAATGGCAGCCTGAGTGACTCCACATTGAAATTTGTCGAAGAGGGAGGAGATACTGTCAAAGTCTGAAGAGATACGCTCGGACCGATTGGTACCTCAGGCACACTCATCAACACCACTAACTACCAGACGGAACTGATTGGGGGGCTGGTTAGATGGAGGAGGGTGGGCAGAGACAGTGTGGGAATGACTAGAATCAGAATGAGAGTGGTGGGTGGATGTAGGACAGTGCTGTACAGAATTGGAGGGAGGTGTGAGGGAAAGTGTGGACAGCTCCTCAGTTAGTGATGTAATTCTAGACTCAAGAGCTAAAGTCTGAGAGGAGAATCGTTTCTCAAGATCAGCAAGAGCTTTCTTAAGAGAAGATATCTCATCAGACTGGTAATTAATACGACATGAAGGGCAATGAAAGTTACCAGAGTTTTTGGCAGAAACAAAATTACTGGAATTTAACCCAGCACAACCCCTATGTATCCAGGTGTTACATGGACCACTACAAAAAATGGAGTCCTGAGTATTGTCATTAATGGCATCTTCACATGATTATCAACTCCACATTACTTTAATACATGCTTTAAGTTAGTACTATACCTGGTGTCTCTAGTCTCCTTTCAATATACTCTATACAAGTAAAAATACATTAATAAAATATCTTCATCGTTCACTAACTATACCTTTTCTTTTTTTGATGATATTTAGTTGTTTATCTTGTTCAAATATTGATCCTATACCATTAGTATAAGTAACATCAGTAATTGAGTAATAGATCAACTATCACACCTTCTTTGTAATCAAGTTCAGTCCTCAGTTCTTGTTCCTCTCCATCAGCTAGTTTAATCTCCTCTGCAAGACACTCATTATTCATTACCTATAATCAGTACATAATATTAAACAAGGTCTCATACAGTTACAGTATCTTATACTTTGTATCTGATCCTTTTATCATAGACAGTGTAGTGGCTAATGGTTAGTCTAATTAAACTGAATTCCTTCATCAAGACAGTTAGGTTGTCTTGTGCTTCCAAGAGAAGAGCAGCTAGTAAATGATGTGGACCATAACAGATGATAATGATGGAGTTCCCACGATGAATGCTTCGTACAATAATCCTCTTGTTTAATTCTTTAAATGCTTCCTCTAAGAGATTACGTATGTCATCAAGTGAGTGCTCATCTGGTTCCCATCCCAAAGTAAACTGAATTGTATTGGAGTCATTAAGATGTTGAGGTTCATTTAGACTCAGAAAGTCTTTCAATGATCCAGTAAGTGTCTTGACTTTGCCTTCGTATTTTGATATAAGATCATCTGCTTCAGTGATGTCAAAGCGTAGCACAATCGTTTTTATTATTGAAATGTCATTCACTCGGCAATTCTTCACTACAACATTCATAATGTCTTCAATACTATCAGCGTTAGACAGGTCAGGACCTAATTCAGGAAATGATTTTTGAAGAAATGACTTCATTTCTTCAATGGATGCTTTTGATTGAGATATCAAAGGAACTATCTTATCACGAAGGATACCAAAATGACCTCTGACCTCATTAAAAACTGGTCGATATGCTGCATTGAAAAAGAACTCACCAGCTATAGATACATGAATTATTAAAAACATACTACAATCATTATACCTGATACTGGTGTGTTAGCAGTAGGTAATTGATTGACTGTACTACTGGTAACATGTCTAACTACAGCTGTCATGACTGCAATTTTACCTGTTTAACACATTACACATTACAATTATTTAGTGCAATTTTACCTGTACAAAAATGTATTATATCTTAAAATTACAAGTTTATATAGTATCGTTTTTGGAGACATCAGCTACATGTACCTGTACCATGACTACATGCACTTTAAAAGTGAATTGTTTTACAAAAACATACCAAAAGGTTTAGGCTATGCACTGATTATAGCCTCCTGCAGCATTACACACACACAGTCAATACTAATACAATCAGTGATATTAACTTACTCTCTTGATCTAACTTGTCAGCTGCAGCATTCTCATTCATAGATTTAAGAGCATCTGACAGTGAGTCAAAGGTAGCTCCTCCTTTACTGTCAACATTATCAGCTCTACGCAACCACTTGGAGAGAGTCTCTATCAAGCAGCGAGATACATCTCTAGAGAAAATTGCTTCCAAAACATCCAGTGTGTCCTTATGTAGTCCTAGTCTCAGTCCCAGCTCATGCCATCTTGTCTGAGGGAAACCACATCTCTTTAACAGATCAAGTACATCAATAAGCTGATCTATAAAACATAATATATAAATATACTACAGACTACAGTTAATGGATTATTACTAATAGTCAATGGAGAAGAGAAGAGACTCAGAGAAGAGGAACAAGAACTGGTTTTAGTTGCCATTGATCAAAGAACAAGCTAACCGGATGCAAACTTTGCAAAGGAATGACAAGGGAGGGGCTGGTTTTGGGCGGGGCTATGGCAATATGGTGGTAACATTGGAACAGTTGATGATGAAAATAATCATGGAGTTACTAATAGTGACAGCAAAATAACAGATGAGGTAGTTTAAATGTACTTGTACATGTATACTAGTACATGAATTTTAGTCAAATTGTGATGTATGATATCATAGATATACTTATTATTATTATTACATGTATATATATATCATACATGTACATGTATATATATGTATACTGTAGATC